GCCACGCATATTAGCAGGATATACAATTTTTTAGCAGAAGAGTAATATTCAAATCTGGAAGATGTACAATTAAAACAAAAGAAACACCATGTATTTCCAGCATGATGAATATACTGCTCATTATTATAAAACTGCTAGATATGTTTCAAATACTAAGTATAATTTTCATTAGATATGAGGCGGAAATCCAATACATTGGCCACCTCAATCTGTGATTTTATTTCCTCAGATTTGCCTCATGATGTTAGATTGATGTAAAGTTTTCTATTTTCCTCAAATATCTAACATCGATTTCAGAAAACATGCAGAAGCTCATTCTAATTCCTTGGGCGAGTATTGAGAGAGAAATTATTTTATAGACGCATCATCCAAAGAATCTGAAAATTCATTTAAGCATAAGAACGTCATATCGAGCATTGATTAAACCAATACAACTGAATTATGAATCGCTTATAGCATTAATTTACCTTCCTATTAAATACGATTTTCTGTTATCAATGTTTTCAAATATATGTGAATCTACACTGAATTAAAATATGCTTTATTTACACATTGCTTATATTTGCATGAAGAATAAGAATAATAAATTTAGTCCGTTACCCCATTAACAATAACAGGTGATCAGGTGATCACGAGATAAGGAGTGTTTTTCGTATGATATCGAAAACACCTTCCTAATAAAACATACATAATGCATAACTGCCAACTCTAAAAAATTTTAAAAAATGCAAAGTTTCCACTCTGCACGATCTGAAAAAAATTCCAGTCTGCTACATTTCACATGTCAATTTATGTGAGATTCAGATACTTAAGCTAGTCATTAACATGATTTTCATACAAAATAGATCAACTTGATATTTAATTAATTATTCCAAACTTTAAATTATGTTTTTGGCTAATTTGCAATTTCTAAAAACTCTGCAATATAGTTTGGCGATATTTGCAATTTTTGACAGTGTTTTATACTAATAAAATATGAGCAAAAAAGAAAAGCTTTTATTTATTTAAGTACTTTCAAGCATAACGAAAATAAAACTAATAATTACTGCTCATATAACTTACAGAATAAACAGTAATACGTTAGATTTAGATTGAATTCATTTAGATTCTTTATAGATTAAAATCAAAACTAAATACAGATATTTACTTCTAAAACATTAGTTAAGCCTTCTTGAAAAGCTCTAAATCTTTATAACAAATTAAAACAGATCACATCGAATGAAGTTTAATCCCAAAAATCACGCTGAAAATAACTATAAGAAAATAGAATTTGAAAAGTTGAAGTTTCATTCAAAAGTAACTATGTCTTTGCCTTACTCAAATGGTAAAAATGAATCTCAGTATAATGCATGTAAAAGTAAATAATTGCAAACTTTACTTTGAACATACAGAGAGGTTGGACGAAACTAAGGAAACATTTGGTAAAATGGTAAAGAAATTAATTTAGCTAACAATAACTTTTGGATTCAAGAACGCAGGAATTCTTCTAGAGTTGCCACATATGTAAACTTTGGATGGTGTAAAGTAGGATGTTATACCAATTTTTGGGGAAAACTTGGAAATTTCCTGAAAAATTGTTCGAGGCGGATAGTGAGCTCGAACCCTGACTCTCCCAAAAGACGAACTCCAGAGTCGTCAGACCTAAATATCATTACTGTATAAGGTATTTTTCCCACTTCCCTGGGGTACCTTCGTGGTGTAACGGTAGCACGCTAGGCTGGTATTCCAGAGGTCAGTGGTTCGATTCCCGGCGAAGACGTTGTTAATTTTTCATCTCTCCGGGCTCCAAAAAATATCCTAATGACTCTACAAGTGGCGCCCGAACTAAAAGGGTTGGGGATGATGACTCTCCACACCCAGGATTGGCGTTTGGGTCCCTAAAAACCCCAGTCTCCCTTAAAAGGGATATTAGGTATTTTCCCACTCCCAGGTGCTGCGTGGTGAACGGTAGCACGCCGGTATTCCAGAGGTCCGTGGTTCGATTCTCGGCGAAGGCGTTGTTAGTTTTTCATCTCTCCTGCCTCCAAAAAATATCCTAATGACTCTAAAACTGAAGCCTAACGAATTATTACTGAGGTATTACTATAGAGAACCTCAGTATTATTAATGACGTCTGATCATTAAGGTGGTCATACAAGATGGAAAATTTCATCGACATGCCCCGAAAACTCCGATTGGGTTCAAGTTGTATGAATTGAGATTTTATCATTTTCCTTAATGGCATCTACAGCAGTAAATAACATAGATTACTTCTTAAGTACGGTCCGTTTGTAAGTACCGCTTGTAATTTCGCACGTGCCTGAGATTGATGCTTGCGCCAAACTCTCAGCATTCTCTGCGCAGAATCTGCCACCACTTGCATTTACTGCGTTAGTCTGCAGACTTCATAGTAAGAGTTTAAAATGTTTGAAAATCAAGAGCCCTGCCAACTGAGAAATACATCAATCATTTGGTTCTTAACAGCAAGGATCGTGAAAGTTGAGGATTTTCAAGTATATGAAGTGCATGGTAACAATACAATGAGTAACATTAAAGCGGAAAATGGGTAAGCGTTAATATATATATTTCAAGGAAACTAATTGTTTAAAGAATGTCAGGAAACATCTATGACGAATCTCTCTGTGGTTGGCCTGTAGTCGCTGACAATTTGGTGTAAGCAGTTGAGACCCAAACACATGCAAGCAGGGAATTTGAGCAAATGTCTTGGAAAGATAAAAACCATCCGTGAAGAAATGAAAACGACCGTTAATAACTGACTATCAGTCGTCAACAGCAGAGTTTCATGAGAAGAATTTCCATACTCCAACAAGGAGAAGAATAAAGAAGGAGATTACGTAGAAAAATAGGAAATTTTATGTAATTCAGAAAATAAATTGATTTTTTGAAAATTTCCATTTTTATAGGGAAACGGACCTTACTAAAAAAAGAACAGTTGTGGATTTGCGTCAGATGGGAGACCTGGGCATTCAAAATGCTTATACAGTCCTTGGCAGGGACATGAGCTTGCAGCTTGCTGGATAATAATTGGGTCGCCATACGGTCCAAATCATGACCCAACTTCTACAAGTGATCGGGATAAAAACATTGCCTTAGTGTTCTTTATACATAATCTAGGCCTCTTTTGGGAAACATTACGAAGGACACTTCATCTGACCAGATGACAATCTTCCTTTGATCAGAAGTTTAATTTTTATGAATATTGCACTGTTTCCTTAACCTGTGGTTTAGAGATTTGGGCTCAAGCAGTAATTTCCTGTATGTGAAGTTCTAGTTTTACTGTTTTTGCACTTTCAGAGCTTCAAAACATATGCAACTCCGCAATTTCTTTTTCACATATTATCTAAATATTTTTGGTCAAAATCATTCTCTGCAATACCTTTTTCGTAATTCAACGAGCAATTTCGTTATACTAATTTTATAGGATGTTCTGCCAGAAATGCAACATTCCGGAAAACAACGTTAGATACATCTTAAAATATCGAATAAATCTACTTCTTTGGTCTCTGAACCCCCACCATGCGGAAGCTTCAATGACCAGAGCAGAAGATGAACAACCAGAGCAGAACAATAAGCTTTAAGTTCAAGCACAGTGGACTTGCAACTGCCCAGAATGATGTGTATAATAAAACTGTGCCTTCCTATTTCCTCGGCAAGCTTTTTATCGCACGCAAAATATAATCAACTAAGTAAAAATATGCATTTTCAGGTACAAAACAAATGTTATTTTATACATTCCTTTTATCAAGAATTTCCATATTTTTGTTTAATTGCGTTATATAAAAATTTTCTATATTTTACCTACCTGTCTCAATCGGTTCAGCAATCATCGGGACAATCGTGATAAACGCCGATGCCAAAATGTATATTATTGGGAAGAACAAATTTACCTGAAATGTATAAAACAAGTTTTATTTGCATATGTATTTGTGAAGTACTAAAGAAAACAAATGACATGCAGAAAATAAAACTCGTGCAGTGCAGTTTGAAATACATATTAACTTTTAAATGTTTCCCGTCCTTTAAGTGATAGAGATGACATTAAATTTTCTTTATATAATTGGTAAAATATGAATTTAAACATACAAAATTTAACCGTTTTTAATTGAAGCACTTGAAAATCTGAAAAAATATCTTCATCTACATCTGAAAAAAATAATGCCATTAAAATAAAGAGAACTAAAGAAAATTTTACCAGAAAATTGTAAAATCTCAGTTAAAATTAAACTCCTAATGTAGCATAATAAATTCATAACTGAATATTTTTTCTAAAAGACTGCAACAAAAATGGTAAGGAAAAGTTTTAGAGAAAAATTAAGGAACGAAGTGAAAGAAGTGAATAAAAAGAATTTACTCGAATTCATTGAAACTTTTACAAAACATTGGATATACTAAAAGATACTAGCTCGGAGAAATACAAACAAAATGGCAAATAAATAACAAAACAGTGGCAAACAAAAAATAAGACTTTTAGTGGACGACCGTCAACATGGAATGTCATAATATCTGTCGGAAATCACTGCCCTAGGTTCGTTCTAAGGATAAGACCACCTATGGCGTTTCAGATTATGTTTTCGTTCGGGAAGCAGGCACGTTCTTAGTTTTTTAAGATCCAAATAGAGTTACGGAGAGAAATCCAAGCATATGTCATACATATTCGATGTGATTCAAGTCTTATGATCTCAGTGGTGATTCCATAAAAAGAAATACTTTCAGGTTCAGACCAGCAAAATATAGGCCTCATGGACTCCAGCGTTGTTGTCCATAAAAATAAAATCAAAATGTCTGGTCGCGAGAAATGGACGAACATTTTGAGCAAAGATGTCATCTCTATATGTGACTGCAGTCAAGCTATCGTAAGGCAAGATGTGAATATCAATGTGTCCTCCAATAGCAGCCTTGTCCAAACTATCAAACTACCTCTTTTGTATAAGTGCATTTTTTGGACGTTCCTGCCATTATAGCAAATTTTATCACTCTGAAGAATCATTCTGTAGACCAAATCATAACGTATTCTCTCACAATTCATTCAATCATAAATCATTCTCATTATTGTGAAGTCCAGTTGAGGTGATCTCGAGATCAGTTTAAAAGGATCTCTCTATACCAAATGTAGACGGTATGCAGCCACCTAGCATACAACTCTCCTTTGTGTAGTCAACTGTAAACATTTTGAAGAAAAATAGCTTTCCTTATCTAAGCTACAATGTTGGAGAGAAGGTGGTGTGCAACATTTGAGTTTGGATTGCTCTTGCAGACGTAAAAAATTGTCACCTCCAGCGGTTGTGGTTCTTGGATGTCCATTTGCTGATTTGCAGGGCATAGTTACTCCATTGGGATATGATTCACCGGCAAATGATGAAACGTTTTGAGTTTGGACTAGTTCTGACCCTATAGGCTGCCTCGAAAGCCAAATTTCGAAATATGTAACATCATCTGAGTGACTCCCCTATTACCTCTCTTCACCTAGCTTCACTCGTATGATAATATACTAATCATTTTCAGAAACTTGGATATTTAAAATTTCCTTATAAAGCCTGTTACGCACAGATATGAAGCCTCCACAAAACAGACCATTTTTATATCGAACAAATTTCCTTGCTGAAAACAATGTGGGTACGAACCACCTTTTTTCTGTAGTCTAATTTCTGCTAACGTACACCCAAATGTACACAAGTTTTATAACTACACGTTTCATTCGCCGAATATGCTAAATTTTGCGTTTTTTGTCCAATCTTTGGGCACCCATTTATTTAATAAAAAGCGAACTTAACTGAAAACTAATATCACGGTAAGTACAGAAGAATAAAATGTTCTGTTATAAAGGATTTGAAAAATGTTTGTGTTAGAATTAAGATTGGGCATTATATAGAGCCACTTATGGCAAGTATGGTACCATTATGCAAACGCAAGTTAATCACAAAAAATTATTGCACACTAAGAAATTATGCTTCTAATTTTAATAAACAACAATGAAATACCTACTTTAAACGAACGTACTATTTGATATTATTGCATTCTAAAGATCGTTCGCAAAGGGGAGAAGCAGATTTTTAATCCTCATTAAATTATGTTATGACATTTATTTTTCTATACCCACGATATTTCATTACATCACGTTCACTTGTCACTTTCTTTGAACGTTTTTTGTTAAATTTACTTTTCACCAGTGTAAAAGGATTGATTTATTCATTTAGGCCAGACACACCATGGCTATCTACGTAAGCAAACAAATGCCTTCAGAGAAGATTTGCAATGGCAGACTGGCTTTTAATTAGGATGCGCACGAAGAAAACCTCGTACAATCAGCCTATTCAGGAATAAAACTAGAATCCCCGTTTAACTCCCAGCGCTTTTCGGATTTAGCCACACAACACTCATGGTGTACTCATGACTGAAAATGTTCCCTGGAAGTTATTTTCAGTATTCATTTAATTTACTTAATGCTATAGTGTTGGCGTTAATATCTCTTAAAACTTGAAATTTCGGCTGATTACGAAATTTTTGAAATAGTAAGTTGGTTCCATAATGGTGTGGAATAGCGGTTCCAGAAGAATAAAGCAACGTGTCACGGCGCCATGTTTTTCGCAATTGATTTGAGAAACATTCTGGATAATTCCAACACACGGTTTGGCCACCTCAGTTCTCAGACTTTATTTCCGCAGAGCCTATTTGGGATCAGAGATATTCGTGCAGGAGATCCAACATCTACCAGAACCACACAGTTAGAGGTTTTTGAGACAGCATGGCTGAAAATCTCTTCTCAAAACTTCTGGCATCTAGTTGAGTCATGTTGAGGTGCTGCATTTCACCAAATTAGAACAAGCCTCGTGGGATATTATGAAAGGTATTCCGTGATTTTTAGCATATCAGTGTATATACATCATTTTGCCGTATTAGTATAGACGGATATCAATTCAGAATACCTTAATGGGCCTAGGCAGGTCAGGTTGCTTCCAGCGCAGATAAGGTAAACAAACCACAGCAAGTCCAATAGCTAACCATGTTGCAAAACCAACATAATTGATTAGGGCATAGATGTCACTTGAGCAGAGGTAAACCAGTGATAATAAAGCCTGTAACAAATAATAATATAAACAATTTTAATAATATAAATTTGTTTAAATAATTTTGAAAAAAATAAATAATTTTTAAGAATTACATTACAATATACACCGATATCAAGATTTACAATGATCTTCTGCAGAAAAGCATCCAAATAAACAGCGTAAAATATACCAAAAAATAGTGTTCTAGATAATCCAGTTTTACTTGTTCAAATATTCTTTAACTAGCAAACATTTTAACACAAATGTTATCTCAAAAGTTTGAATTTTACGGCAAATAAACAATTCCCACACGCATACGCACACATATTTACATTTAAGACGGCGTAAATATAAATGAGTTATTATTTTGCTCTCTTTTTATCTCTCCCTCTGTCTGTGTGTGCATATAAATGTAATAATTCTGTAAAAGACTTGAGGATTAAAAAAAACAGTTGCTTAGATACTTGAGGTAACATAATGGTAAAGAGAAAAACTTTAGCAGATGTGGCGCTGGTTCAACACATTTTTATTTCGCAATTAAGACGGGTTCACATGTCATCATTATTGGGTGTGCTATGCACCCCACAATTTGTACAGCTTACATCTTTCTAGACAAAAGACGATAGCGGAGCAACGAAATATACTACACTAGCAGAAGCAAGTCGATGTAGAAAAAAAGGGCTGTGCAATAGTAACAGCAGTATTTAAAGGAAAATGTTTCTTTAATCTGATTGAATGAGAGCCACCCGCATTGCAGCATGATTACATACGAAAAATTAAACGAATTACTTTGAAAAGACGCATTCCAGAAAAATTATTTTAAACAATTTAGAACAGAAACGAAAGATAAATTAAAATGAGGAATTAAAATGACTATTTCTAAACTAAAATGTGTTATTTTCTTTCATACTTTAATTTTATATATACATATATTCCATTTGTTTTATCAAATGATTAATGTCTTATTAAAAGTAAAATATTTTGCATATAATGCAAAAATGATATCGCAAAATAATATTTTAGGTCAGTTTATAGCTAAATACATATATCAGATACTCTAAATGTTATTTAAAATTTCTTTTGATGCATCAGAGCAATAAGAAAAGAATTTGAAAAACTCGGCAACTTTTACTTCCATAAACATACAATTTTACTAAGTTATTTTTTACTGTTTCGGAAACTTAAATTTTCAAGGGCAGTTCCTTATTTAATATTCTTAAAATCTTAGATTCTTTTATTCGGAAAAGTCATATTTGAATTTTTATTACATATAATTTTATTATGTGTAACTTATGAACATTTAATTTTTATTATTTAAAAGTTTTTATTTTTCATTCCTTATTAATATTTTTAAAATTTTAAGAGTAGAAAAAGCCGTATTTATATGTCAAAGCGTTAGTGATTTTAGTTCGTTAACTCTAATATAAAGTTATATAAATTAGTACACACATTCAAAAACTTTTAAGATGCATAACATTTAAGGTTAAGAAAGGAAGATATGTTTTACCACAAACATTACAGCTGGCGTTGGTGTTAAATGGTTTATTTGGATCATGTTAAGAATTTCTGGCATTTGACCTTGCTCAGCTCCTGCGTAAAACAACCTGGAAAAACATATTTTAAACTTTAAGCTCATGAGAAACTGAATCAGAGAATATAATATATATAAATACTTACTACAATACAAAAAAGTAATATCATTAGAGATGAAGAGTTTATTCAAAAATTATAAATTGAAAAAAATCTGTTCATTTGGAAGCAATAGTTGAGAAAACACACTGGTATTCCGTATCTCCCTAATTACTTCTTCTGAAGGAATTACATGACGTCACCAAGGACATTATAAGATAGATTTGAAATGTTTTTCCGTTAGTCTGATATACTTCTAGAACCAATGATATTAGTAAAACCGGTGAGTAAGAAAACAAAAATTATAATGTATATAATGTAAATATTTTATACAAGAGAGTTATTTCTAATATATCTATAGGAGAAAAATATAATACTAGAAAAGCAGGTAATAGTATTAATTATATCTTACTGTGTTTTACTTTACTGCCAAATATAATAAACATCATTTTAGAGGAGCTTATATTTTGACATTTGTAAAAATATTATAATTCGAAAAAGGGAATCAAATGAGAAAGATTAGGGAAACAATAGGTGGCACACGCTATTGTGCTGCAAATGACAAAAATAGAGTATTTTAGGAACTGTAGAAAAAAAAAAGAAAAAAAAAAAACTTAAGGTATTCGTTCCAGGGATAAGCTCTGAACCACACTATTTGTCTACGCTAATGAATATGGTAACGTAGAGGAAAGGGAGAGTCTGCCTAGGGAACAGACAGGGAAGTAATACCTGCCTGAAGAGCTACTACAAAACATGCAAAGGCTATCTGCCTAAAGGAAGCGATGACTTCGTGGAGGACATCATAAGAGAAATTGACTCATGTTTATTCTATATGAGCAAAAATCACAAACATATCCATGCAATCTGGCCATTCGCTAGGTCTCAAACCCGAGTATCCAATCACCGCTATTTATTTAATTTTCCCTTTCCTTTTAGATCCACAAGGGCATTTATCGCGGATTTATGTACTTATGACTAATAATTTAGGAAAGAAAATGAATTTACTCCCCGCTTGCTATTTAAGACCAATTTCGCTTCCAACTAAAAGTTTTTGTTATTATTTTGTTTTTCAATTTTTACAGTTAATCCCATTTTATATTAAAATGAAATTTTACCAACAAGATAGTATTTCTTGAAAATATGTAGATAATATAATACTTATAAGCCTACTACATACGCATTTATTAAAAGTATTACCTGGAAGATGTGAAGAGGATTCCGTTTACACCGCCAAATGTTGAAAGGGCTACGAAAACTGGTACAACCCATGCAAAGTTGCCGTACAATCGATCAGCAAATATCTTTAAAAAATAAGTAAACAAAGAGAGAAATTATTATAATTAAGACCATGTTAAAAGTGTTGAAACAGTACTATCTAGCATTCGAGTAAAAATATGTGGGATCTAAACAAAAAAATTAGCACGTATTATTAAATTAGCATGGCATTAGTATGCATATAATGTAGAATCGACTTTTGAAAATTTTAGAATGGTTACTACAAGATTGGGGTTTTCATAGGTGCCAGTTTTTAAATAGTTTTGCAGAAAGGGAAAACTATAGAAATGGAAGGGAAAAGTAAGGAAGGGGAAAATAATAGAAAATAAAATCTATAAATATAAGTAGGCAACTCGATTAAAGAGATCACGATAAGGAATAAAGCAAAAGGGAATTAGAGTTGAAAATTTAAAAAATTATGTTCGATACTCAACATTACATTAATAAATGTGCAATGTAGGGGTTTCGATACTAGAAAAAATATGTTAAGAAACCAGCATTAAAATACAATATGAAATTTTCAAATTGTAGCAACTAGCGATTCAAACTGTAGCCTAAACGATAGTAATCACGATGATATGCGCACAGATATCGATTGGCGGTTGGATGATTAAGACAAAGCACAAGACGGTTTTCTCCTAAGGGAGTCTTCTTGCAGGACATTTTAAGGTATTCTGGCTTTGTATTGATGTTACACACGAAACAAATCCTAACAATTCATTTCGACGGGACTTTATCCCGTGTAGAATTACCAGCGCTCAGTCACTGGAAAAGCGATAAATGTAAAAAGAGTTTAATTTTAGCATTTTTCTCTTATCTACTCATTGGAGCCCACCAGCGGCCGAGCGGTAAAGACGCTGAACACTGGTAGTTCGGTCTGAGGTTCGAATCCCGCGAACGGGCTGGCTGCATGGGCGTTTTCGTGGTTTCCCCATGTGTAACGTGTATACGAGCCAGTTTCCCTTAGAAGGTCCTCCACGAAAGCCATCCCTCCCTTTAGGCAGATAGCCCTCGTGTGCTTTGCCATAATTAAATACACTTATCTACTCATTATTCAACCTTTCTGCTTTGAAGCAACCTTTCCTTTTTCTCTTGTTCTCAATCCACGTTTTCTTGCCAGATTTAGCTTTCAGTTTCACATGTCATGCCAAGCAGGGTAGAAAAATACTGTTTAAGCTGGCGTCTGAATTACTTTAGACAGAGTGTTCTTCCTTTTGGCCACGTTGTTTCTCTGCTATTTAAGCTTGCTATTTTACTGCCGTGCATATTAACTACCGATTAGTCTACTTCGGTGGTATGACCAAGAGCCAACTACGCGTTAAAATATCTCTGTGCAACTTCGGCTGATTATTTCGCTTAGTTTTAAATTTTACATTTCTATTTTGAGTTGCCGCCAAAAGTATTGGCGTAGATTTGTAAACACCAGGAATGCCGACTTTAAATACTTTTCTCGTGTTTAATAAAAGGACCTTTTCACCCTTTCCATGTGTTGTTATTGATAGAATTGAAATTAGCGAGTAGTCACTTCACAGTTCAAGTTAAGATCTAGCGAACAAAGTAACTTTAATTTAGCTAGAATCTTACACTGTGATATTTTTCTTTTCATTCTTGGTATTATCATAGTGATACCATTAGTTATCGAAGGTGTAATTATTAACTGAGACTAGCAGAAACTTCAATTCTTCCGATAGGAAATGGAATACCACTGAGTATTTTAAGTAAGTTTATAAAGTTTTATGTTGATTTAACGTAATTATTTGATTGTTTTGCCTATACGTTCACTGGCATTTTCGTCATCTCCCTACTCCCAGAATACAAATTAGTTATTGTAGATATGCTCAGTGTTTTGGGGTTCGGAAGCTAGTCGTAGGGCAGGCATTGCTGACTGGTTACTCTATTTACACCTCCCTGGTAATTAAATAAAGTTTTCTGCTTTAGCTTGGGTAAGTAGCATTTGCTTCGAGAATTCTTAAGTTCCGAGCCCAAACTTGACTTTTAATTTATATTTCACATTATAATTTCACTGGACTAATTATTTGGAGTTCATTTCTGTTATTGTATCAGTTTTATGTACCCATCAGTTTAACGTGTTAATAAATAGATTTATTTTAAGCCTTCAGTTTGAGTTGTATCCATTGTAGTTGGAGCTTAAGACAGGGCGACAGTCGTCTGTTTTTAAGGTTCTAGTAGCATGGCATTTTAAAACAGTACAGAACCGTACAAGTTTCTCTTGATAAGGCCTATATTTATATCAATATTCACACCTAATAGTACTGCATAAAACATTGAGAGAAGTGATTCTGATTTGGAGTATAGTAAAGAAATACACTAGATCACTATAAGCGTAAAACTCAATTGCCCTGAAACTGCTCAACTGTAATGATAACGAAGATCAGAGTTTAGGGACTATTCGAATATCAACACTGAAAACTCTTTTAATGTCTTATTTAACTTCTATATACCTTCTGTAAAATTTAAAATCAAGGCTTTCAGACACTGTAAAGAGGAACAAGATACCAAAATAAAATTAATAGTCATTCAAAAGCATCAGAGATCCGAACAGGTGGACAAAAATACTTTTGAATCAAGCTCCTAAAATGTAAGCTTTTAAAACGAATCACCAAAATTATAGCAATCAATTTTATAGAAACAAAAAAAAAAAAAAAAAAAACTCGCTTTTTTTGTGTAAGCGTTCTTAAGATATATTGAAATGCTAAACTTTCTCTTCTTTGGCATGAAAAATCTCATTCTGTGATCAAAGAGATTGAGTAATAAATACTCCGGATTATTCGAGGCAGGGGAGAAAGAAACTTCGTAATATCTATATTCTATATAGCGTATGTAACATTGCATTTCAGAACTTTTGTTCATAATAACAGTTGCTATAATAATTTTTATCAGTATTTAAATGCATTTTTTCGTCTGATCATATCTATTACATAAATTCTGAAGCCGGCAATAAGCAGTTTAAAATGTGTATAAATTATTTTTGTACAGTTTTCCAATTCGCATCATTGTTTAAATTTTTACTGTTTTTTAATATTTTAAATCAATTTGATATCTTTGGAGATATCATGTATTTATCTACACTTATTGAAATTTTTAATTGCTACACTTTCGAACTATCATAAAATATAAAACGTAAATTTAGCTTTATTTTGCAGCATTAGAAAATAGTTTTTGGCATGTTTACTTTTGAAGTTTGATTTTTTCCTTCCCCGTGAGTTCTTTCTCATATTGTGTATGGCCGCATGATTCAAAAATAGTTATTTTAAAAATTTTAAATCATGTACTAATGACTTAAATAATCAAAATACTTACCACAGCTACAGCTTCGGCTCCCATCACCTCTTGAATCGATAGCGTAGTGTGGAATGCTACTATTGTGAGTGTGTAAACTACAGTCACTAAGATACAGGAAATGAATATAGCCCGTGGCAGGTTCCTGAAATGCAGTAATTCAAACATTTTAACAGTATGGTGGTTTATATTTACCTCAGACAAGTAAGCAAGCAAGATATCTTTACTGAAGGTAAATGAGTTGCATTTTCTTTCTCGTTAAGGTTTTTCAAGGAAAGTTGAATTAGGAGATTATTTTCAAGCGCTGCTTCTGTGTTACCTTGCAAAGGACCAATCATAAAATACGTAGGCTTATATCACATCCATGAATATATAAATTGAATGATCATTTTAACTTCATCTAACAATTTTTAAGAATACAGATTACACTTCTTAAATTTAGCAATATCTAGGTCCTTACCTTTCCTGAAACACAGAAAACAGCGGGAAAAACCTTCGGCGTTTTCAGTTTTAGCTTTGGCATGCCGCATTTGCTTCGCGGACTCTTAAGGCCCCAGTCATTGCTTGCTTAAGCGAATATTAATTTGCATTTCACATTTTAATTTCATTGTTCTACGTTTTCCGCAAGATGTTCAAGTATGCTGTGCACAGGGGGTAGACGTATGTGTATCACACATGCACAGGTTCCCTATTCCTATCCATCTTACTTCACACATATTGTTGTGATATCAAATTTCGAAAACCATTTAAGCAAGAAAAAATAATTTCATTAATGCTACAAGACCTGGTTCTGCAATTTGAATTTTTTCCACTTCATGTTCACTGAAATCGTGCACATTAGTGGCAGTATTATGGTACCCACTCACATGTATTCACAAACGTTCCTTTGTCTAACGTTTCCATTAAATAATTTTTTAAGTTGAAATAATGGCTTATATTTGTGCTTGTACTAGAACCATATTATTATCTTAGCATATTTACTTCCCAAAGAGCAGTAATAAAACCGAATATGAGAAAACAATAGGACTGTATTAAGCTGAAATTTTCGATTACGATCTAAAAAGATCTGACTTCGGAATGCTACGAATAATGCCATCTTAACGGCAGATGAGAAAAATAACTGAGGCAAATAAAAAAAAAATTAAGGGTTTACAGAAGTTAGAGGACTACGAATTATTAAAGAAGTGCTATCTGTATCTGTTATGTGCTAGAAATCCAAAAGGTTATGCCAACATATTAAATTCTATCAATTAAAAAAAATTTAGCCCAATGCGCAGTTTTCATATTACTTGCATGAATAATTACATTAGGCGAATATATGTTCATCTTGATATTACCACCATGGAAACTACGCATGCAATCTAAATTTTAGGGCCGTTTGAAAATTGACAGTTTTCAATCGAAGAGTGGTTATAATGTATCTAAACTCATGATAGAGGTGTTGTTTCGGGCTCATTAAAACTACTCTTCACATAAGTAAATGCAAATAAAATTATAAATAAGTAACTGTTTACTTAGATTCAAAATTCAAATCTTATGTACTGAGCACAAATTATGCAATTACGCTTTTAAGTATTTGCTGTAAAACTGTAAGGTATATTTTAATTTTATAACAGTTATTTTAAAGTTCCTTTCCTATCAATTCTTGCCTTCCCTTACAACTCCCTACCAAAATGAGATTTTAAATCGCGTTGAATGCAAATCAGTTAGAAGAAGTATTTAATAGAGATTCAACTTACTTCGTGAGAGAAAGCTAGGAATCCTGAATAGCGCGTGTTTGCCTTCGTGGTGTAATTGGAAACATACTCGACGCGTATTTGAGAGGTCCAGGTTCGATTCCCGGCGAGTGCACCTACTCATTAGGGAAAGTAATTTTTATATTGTTTAGGTACCCGGCTGGGTTATAATTAACATAAAAACTACTTTCCCCAATGAGTTGGTGCTCTCACCGCCGGGACTCTAACCTGGACCTCTCGAATACGCGTCGAGTATGTTTCCAGTTACACCACAAATGCAAACACTCGCTACTCAGGCTTCCCAGCTCTCTTTCACGAAGTAAGTTGAACCTTCCTTAAATACGTCTTCTAACTCATTTGCATTCAACACTATTATAAACACTAATTCTGGTAGGGCGTTATAAATGGAAACAAGAACTGATTGGAAAGGTTTCCCTAATTAAAATAACTGTTTTAAAATTAAAATATACCTTACATTACCCATGCATGCATTTATTTTTATGTAAAGCGAATGAGAAGAAAGTTTAAGAAATTTTTAGAACTCACTTGTGAGGGTCTTTCAGTTCTTCAATGACGAAGTTCAAGTAATTCCTATAAAAATTATTGTGATTAATTTCAGAAAAAATGAGCACAACAATGACACTACGTTTTAACAATCATGTGAGCTGCATGTATATTAGCACGGCTACATCGGTCTTTAAATTAGCAGAAAAAAATGGATAAATTTTAGCTCATTATACTGACTACAATTTTTTAGAATATATTCTATCTGCTCATAAGTTGAGTTTGCCTCATCAGAATTTGCCTATATTATTCGGTATCCCGTTAGTTCTACGCTTTACAAATCGTAAAAGACCTGCTGAGCACAATGCGACCTAGCTCAGCTTCCAACAATAAATTTTTCAAAAAATGTGCGTAAAAGATATATAATTAAGCTATCTGATTAAATCAAAGTGCAATCGAACTCTCGGCTAGTTAGAGAATGTCTTACTAGATGACTTCCTAATAGAAAAGAGCTCCTACAGCCTGAGTAAAAACTTTAAGGCCAGTAAAAGTTTTTGAGAAAATGTAAAATGAAATAAAAGGGATTCAACTAATATTAATTATTAAAGTTCATTGATAAGAAATAAATGCTGTAAACATAATTTGTAAATACATAATTATGAGAAACATGTGGTTATTTACAAAGTTAGTATTTCTGCCTGAGTAAAAACTTTAAGGCCACCAGTCATTTTTTAAAAATAAATATAATATAATCGTGTAATTACCATTGCAACTACTAGCTTGTGACAACGCTGCAATTTTCATATTTGTCATACGTTTCTTCGAAGTATTGGTGATCTTTGTGAAGATGGCGAAGGGTAAGAAGTTAACTGATCGTGAAAGAGGAGAGATCGAAGCTTTGTCTTCAACAGGAATGAGTAGTCGTGCTATTGCGATAAAGATAGGAAGATCAAAGACTGTAGTCAACAATTTTTTTTTTTAAATTGAAAGACAATTATGGTAAAAAGAATACTGGGGGAAGACCTAAAGCTTTGTCCTCGCGTGATGAAAGAAGAGTTTGCCAACTTGTATCTACTGGAAAGTACTCAACCAGGAAACTGATTCCGACGACAGGTTTAAAAGTTTGTCAAAAAAACGATTTTATAACACAATTAGAAGGTCTGGAAGGTTCACTTATACAGCAAAATTGACTAAGCCTCAGTTACTGCAGAGACACAAAATAGAGCGTTTGAACTTTGGCCAGAAAGTCATGACCTGGGACAACCAATGGATAGAAATTATTTTTTCTGACGAAAAAAAAATGGAATTTGGATGGACCAGATGGCTGGAATTTCTACTGGCATGATATAAGAAATGAAAAAGAAATATTCTCCAAGCGCCAATTAGGTGGAGGGTCTGTCATGACTTGGGGCTGTTTTGCTTACAATGGTGTGGGCTCAATTGCATTCGTTTCAGGTAGAATGAATTCACAAGGATACCAAAATGTCCTAACAAATCATCTTTTGCCAAATGCTGAATGTCTTGCTGGAGAAAATTGGAAATATCAGCAAGACAATGCATCGATCCATTCGAGTAACAGCACAAAAAATTGGTTCCAAGTCAACAATGTTGAAACTGTGAAATGGCCAGCTAGATCACCTGACCTCAACCCAATCGAGAACCTTTGGGGTGACTTAGCAAGAAGAGTTTATGCAAATGGGAGACATTTTACATCAACAACAGAGCTGAAATCTACTATCGAAGATGAATGTATAACCGACCCCCCCTTGTCAAACAAGCTTGCATTTCTTCCTACAATCCAGCCATTTAAAGCCACCTAACTCTTACGCAAAAATAATCCCTTTAAAATTTAGTTAAACTTCTCTCTTTTGCTTTCTTCCATTACAATAGCCCTCCAATGCTTCTCCCCCCCCCCACCTACTCCTCGCGCTTCGAAAAAAGTTCTCCAGTCATTTTCGCAGTTAAGCGACGTAACGGTTTCCCTTGCCTGCAGGCGGTCGGAGTGCAAACTCCCCCCCCACCTTCCCTTCATGGCTCCATGCTTCCCTTACGCTCTCCTCTCTTCTCTCCTCTCCTCTCCTCCGCCATTTTTGGCCCCTCTTCCGCCATCTTTGGTCCTCTGACCGCTGCGAAAAAGTTCTCCAGTTATTTTCGCAGTTAAGCACCTAACGGTTTCCCCACGGGAGGTCGGAGTGAAAACTCCCCCCCCCCGCCTTCCCCTTCGCTCCTCTCTTCTCTCCTCTCTTCCGCCATTTTTGGCCCCCCTTCAGCCATCTTTGGTCACCGGACCGGCTCTCTTCCCACGCTCATCCCAAGGCATTAGCGATTCCGCTGCTTTTCAGAGTAGCCACGACATACCTTTCCCGGGGCCAGAGGCAAGTTCCTCTCACCCCATTTACTTTCAACAGTCTCGATTTCTTTGAAATCGCCTGCGATCTCTTCGAACTTTCCTATCGCACAGGTCTCCGAACCTTCCTCAGCGAATTTGAAAGTCGAAGGAACTTCTCGTCCCTTGAGTGGACTCCTCATTCATTACTGGTTTTTAAACCCTTAACGGTTTTCACTCCTCACTTTAGCTATGCTTAATCTTAATTATTCAATATTCTCTTAACGAAGTTGGGGAGGTTATTGCATTTATTTGCAAAGGTACTCCGGAAGCAAAACGCCTTGGGCCCTTTGTCAAAAACTCGTTTCATCCACGAAAACAAGAATATTTGAAGTAATTCGAAGAAATGGCTCTTACACAACCTTCTAAGAATATGTAATTTTTTTCTTATATGTTATTTTCTATGTTGGCTTTAAAGTTTTTACTCAGGCTCAAATATTCATCTGTGTGTTCTGTAATATTTTCTAATAATAAAATATTTGCAAATTAATTTTTCTACTTTTTTTACTTTTATTTAAGCTCAATAATTATCAATCAAATGGTATTTTAATTCCTCAGTTTAAATGTTTCCATTTTCTCAAAAATTTTTACTGGCCTTAAAATTTTTACTCAGGCTTTATTTTCAGCACATACGAGGAAAAATCCCCAAACACTCATGAAGCTAACTCACCCTAATTAAAACTAGAGATAAATGACCAGGCTTTCGTGGTTCTGTCCACTCGGTTACTGCTCATCCCAACATAAGAAAGACAGGCCTTATGAAATTTATAAAACACTAGTAGCACTTGGAAAGAAAAATCTCAGATTTAGTTGTCAGCGCAGCGCAGGAAAAACTTGTAAGCAAACTTTAAAATTTTAATACGAATTTAAAACTTACAACAAACTATAATTTCAGATCAAACCTCTTTTAATACGTACATCAGTGGTTCCCAAGGTGTGAGAAGGGAGAAAAATTTTGGTGGGTCGCGAGATGTTTCTAAATTTCGTTCTTGCCGTTGTTTTGTTATGATTACATACAATTATTTATAATTGTTAATTTGTACCATTAATTTATTGTTAATAATTATTACGCACTTATTTTATTATTGAGATATTTTTTTCCAAAATTTTTCTCTTCACTGTATTTGCTCTTTTCCTCCAACTATTTGCAAATGGGTCTCTTTAACTTGCAACTATATGGATATTGGTCTCGATGCTAATATATTTGAGAACTTGTTGCTATTATAACGATCGTTAACCAAAAAAAAAAATCTCATAATTTGAAATTCAAAACGTCCGGTGAAGGGACTATTTTTTGGAGTACAGATAGTAGAGCAATTAGAGGAGAATTCATAATAGAATGTGCATGCCGAAATGGATACTGAGCGCTGTTAGGTAAAAGCATTCTTCTGGCATAAATCGTCATGCCCTGTGTTAATTTTGAATGGTACGCATTTTTAAATGAAAGCGGAGTTTGCCGATATGCATTTTATCTATGGGGTTGCTGCTAAAACGGGGCTGCTACACAAGGGAGGTACAGAGAACGTTTTCGGAGTACCTCCTTTTCCAACATCTGAGTAGATCCTCTCCGAAATCCGTATTGAAAATGACTGCGCTGACGGAATGCTTTAACCTACAGCTCAACAGAGCCCTGTACCACCACAAAAGCGACATTTCGTCACACATATTCTATTACAAAATCTGCTTACTTCGGTCCTCTTTTTACATATTTGCCAGGTATTTTTACCAACACTGTATAATGTTATTTATGCCTCTAAGGCATCATTTAGCTGAAAATGACTGGTGGTGAATAATTGGTAGGTTGAAATGTGATTAGTCGCAGATTTCCAAAGACATAAATATTCGAAATAACAACATTTAAAATATGTGGAGGAAACATTTTAGCACTTGTTGCGTGATTCTTCTGAAAGGATAAATTAGGTCATATTCAAAAATTTTTGCCTTTATTAGAATGACAATTTTAGCCAGTTGAGACACCGTACTGTTTTTGCAGCAATGGCAAGTATAAAAATCAGCATGAATATTGCTTACCGCAGGGAGTGCAAAACATGCTTGTCTGCGACCAATGCGATATGTTGCTATTATTTCATTTTTCTTCTCATGCATCGTTATTCAAATACATACTCTTGGACTCGAGTTCTTTTCACTTTCATGTCTATGTCCAGTTTACTGATACCGTAGAAACTTCTATCTGGATCTTTATCTAAAGCATACCTTTCTGGGGAATGTCCGTTTATGACGTAATTTTAAAGATGATAGTTCGTTCTTCTGTAGATTAATCGCGATAGATGTCTAATTAATCTGAATATTTACAAAAATGATTCCATAATAACCAGGTTCCACCAATACATTTTATTAGTATTATCGTTCTCGAGTTTATCCTAATGAGATACCTCATTTATTTCATCTAGTGGATAAATAGCTTGAAAATTAAAATATCGTTCGAAAGAATTGCCCAGCATAAACAGTGAGACTAAGGTCTATATATCAAATCTGGAATATTTTAGGATTTAAAATTTGCCACGTTTTAATCTTCTAAAAAGAGGTAAATATTTTTACGAATTTTTTACTTAGTTAGCTATTTTTAGTAGAATTATAATTAAAATTGTTGTATTTTCCCTGCAATGCAGTGCGAGGCATATTTTTAAGAGAAAACTACGCCGGAAAAGTAATACAGGAGCACGTGCACTTAACATTTAATAAATAAGTATCTCTTTAATTTGTATTTAAATTGAATAAATGTAATTGAACACTATGTCAGCTGTAGCCGTAATTCCACTCTTTTTGCTTTCCAGAAATCTTGAGAAGCAGAAATTACTAGAAAGATCTCGCGCGGCCGATCGAAAGCTATTAAAAGCCAGAGAGAGAACATCTCAGTTAAGTTGGTTAGTTAGCTGCTGTTTTTATGGCAAGTTCAGCATAAGATCAGATTAATTTTCTCTTTAAATTCGTTGTGCATCGCGTTCTGTTTAACGATTTTAGTAGTTTGAAGTATAACTACTGATTGTTATTGCGTGATATTGTGAACACTTATACGAATATATCCGAGGGAAATTCCAGCGCTCTGTTACATTACTTTTGAAAAGAATAAATTTTATTAACCTTTTATTGGACTTGTGCATTCAATTTAGTACGAACCCGTACGCACTCGAAAATATTAATCTTCTAAAAGCCACCAAAAGATCCGATTTGTCCTCCTAGCAGAATCGGTTTTAGTCATACAAGATTCATTTAGGGTATTTTTTCGTAGAGTATTTTATTATTAATTCGTATTCCAATTTACTCCCATAGGAAGATAATGTGATGACTACATTTTTAGCATGTTACTGATTATACTTGGCATTTTTGCAATAGTTGGGATTTCTTTTACAAAACTTTAGTGTGCAATTCTGGCGCATCTAAATAGCTTAAAATGCCTTTATTTATCAGAGTTTATACGAAATTTAGAACATCCCTCTTTTGCAACATAAACAGTGTTGAATTTCTTAGCTTAACCTTTAGTTTTGTACTCCAGTGTACGAAACACGAATTTTAAAAGTAACATTATCACATTATGAAGTTTAAACAAAATCGATAATTGTAAACAGTATTAAATGTAAACGTCATAGCTCAATATACCTCAGACCTTTTAGGGAATTATTTTTCCCTGTAACTGCAAAAATTTCTATAAGATAATCTTAAGTGGCATTTTTAGCTTATAGGGCTATGGTATTGAAAACTGAAGTAAAGGAGAATACGCAATGAATAGTTTCATGCAAGTATAATTGAAGCAGATTATCCAATTTACTGGAAAACAAATACTGCTTATTTCGCAACCAAGCCCAAAGTAATATTTTTTTTCATACGGAGATTAAACCAGTAGAAGAAATTTATATGTGCAGTCTATAAAAAATAATAATTTGCTGAGTAAATACTCACCAACCATTATACGCAAAAAGTCCTGAATAGAATGACACAGCTATCTTCGTTATGTCCGTTTCAGAGTTATCAAAATTAAAATATTCCACTTTACCTAAAAGAAAAAAAATTAAACAATCACCTTCAGCTATAGTTTGACACGTGCACCATTTATTTTTAATAGCTACATGAAAGCAGAAATTTATCCTGTACAAGAGCATATAATCAAATTATAATACCTAGTTAATCCAGATTCATAGTAACTTACTTTTTAAAGAAATACCTTTCTCTGGAAAGAAATGTAATTTACTAATTTTATACACATAAAAGGTCGCATTGTTCCATTTAGCGAGATTTCAGGATTTCATTACTGTGAATAATTAAGAACAATGACTTCTCTAAAATTATTTCTTTTTTGGAAAAGTTTATTCAACAGAGCCCATTTTCAAATATTGGCAATAAGATAAAACAAATTAGTACCACTCTTGGTTGTTATTACTCCTGTATAAAGTCTGCTCGCATTTTAAGTAAGGATATTTTGAAAACGAAATAAAATTTTTATGAAAAAAAGAAAGCCAAATGATATTTTATGTTCAAGCATGAAAATGATCTGAATTATTCTAGTTTCTGATTTTAACATTAGAACTATCAAAGCAGAAAAAATTGCTGCTTATTTCCTTTGGTTTAAATAGACGTTAATACTTTGGAAGATTCGAAAGGTTTTTAATTCATGAAACTAATTTAGATACTCGAGCAAATGGTATGAAAATTAAACCAGATATATCCCCAAATCCGAGTTGATCATCAGTTAGTCATAAATATTACGAACAATCTATAAATTGTCTGGAGAAGGGCCTCGACAATGATGATGGTTGTTATCTTTAAGAAAATCTGAATAAATAAGCTTTCAAAATAGAAAAAAAGCCCGATGTTTCGTAACATTTGTTAACTACTCGATTTCCTTATTTTTTAGAATTTATAGCGTATAATGTAATCTTCCCTTCTATTAAAGGGATAATACGTTCATTCAAAATGTTACATACGTAAAATGTATTACCTAAGTTAATTATTATTCGCTTTCTTTAAGTATTCAGAAAATCAAAATGTTTAATGGTTTTCTGACAAAATGCATTAAGTAATGACGAGGCGAATTCCACTAATTCATTTTCAAAGAGCATTCAATTTATATTTACTCCGAGATTCATTACAGACAGAAAAAAATATGAAGCCACATTAGTAATTTAAAACAGTACCTGCGCGATAAACAAAACTGATGCACTGAATTGAAGGAGCATTTTTATAACAAAGACAGGGAAAAAATTATGAAGAAATCATAAATTGGTAATTGTCGGTTTTAGTGGCGACCAGCAATTAATCGTTAAGTTTGGTGACGTTTATTGTCATTTATTAATCCAAAAGGGTTATTAGTCTCGAAACATGATTTTGCATAGTTTCACTTTTCATGCGAGTTCGTTGCCTTTTGGGAAAACGTAAGATATTGTTCTTTTATGTTTAATCCTTATGTTATTAATTAACAAACTAAACTATTTAAAAGCAATAAATGCAGTTCTTAGAAATATTACTTTTTCTTTTTAATCTGATTGATAATTTAATTCATGATATATTTAATTAAAAACATTAAATATTTTTACAGAATTACATTACATACGCATTTTTTCACGTAACACAAATACACAGAAGATATATAACGTTTCTACGTTAGTCTAACTCAAATTACATCAAGTTTAGATAGCTATTACTCAGCTTGCATTGACAACATTTTGTTATTGTTTATCCAACTTCCGCCAACAAGGCATTTGCCGCTAAGCTAATGAGAATTAGCTAATTATAAAATACAAATAAGAATTTATATACAGTTATACACTGTTTGCTTTACATATTTGATATGAGATCCTTTGTCGATTTCCAGCAGATGTCAGTTTAGTAGTGACGGTGATAATTCACTCGAACCGGATAAATTTGGACTGCTCAATTAGACGCAGGTTTAAGCCAAAACTTAACAAATTAATAAACTTCATCATTTTATTTCTTTTCCCGTTCCACAAAGAATAGAATAAAAATGTAGGGACTGTTTTTCTGCACACAATTTTTGAGAACCTAGTGTGAACATTCCAAAACTCAAAGCTGTTCATACCTAATATTTAAGCTAAAATGGTTTCTAACGTAATGAAAGGAAAAGAACTTCGTTTGGCTCAGATCAAGGGAGATTTAAAACTGCTTAATAATTTAACAACACTGAGCATTCATCTGTACAAGAAATAAAAAGTGCAGGTCCTTCAATAATATTATACTTCATTTAATCAAACTTACATTTAAATCGTACTTACCTTTACCCAGTTCAACAAATCCTGTACCAATAATAACTACTAAGGCAATAAGTTTTCCATAAGTAAATAGATCTTGAACCCGGGTTGCCCATTTCACATCCCAACAGTTCACAAACGTCAACAAACCTGTAATCAAATTTTCAGCATTTAAATACATCACTAAACAATAAATACTTCATGTTCTAACAGTATAATTTAACTCATATACATTAAAAAGGAAAATACTAATAACTATATAAATGCTAAAAGGAAACAAACTAATTGTTATTTAAACTTGAGAAAAAAAAACTGTTTTCAATGTTGAAATACTATTGTTGTTTGTAACTATTTTCAATTGTTGAAATACTATATATTATTGTTGAAATGCTATTGTCTGTTGTTATACATACTCGGAATGGTTAACTAAGGGTACGACTGTCACTGTTGCAGAAACTGGGAGTGAATATCAAGAACCGCCGTTTTGGTATGTCGTCACGCGGGGTTATCCTTTTGCATGATGATTCTCGTCCTCATGTGGCTGTGGCGTGCCAAACATTGTTAAGGCAATTCCGCTGGGAGGTTCTCGAACATCCCCATTACAGCCCGGACCTCTCGCCTTCTGACTACCACATCTTAGGTCCACTCAAGAAATCTCTGAAAGAACGGCGATTTCTCGACGATAATGAGGTCCAAGATGCCGTTGAAAATTGGTTCCACAAGGAGCTTCTTCACCCAGGATATCCATCATCTCGTTGACCGTTGGGACACTTGTTTCAATCTACAAGGTTACTTTCTCTAGCTTATCGCTTACGCCTGTATTACTTCTTTTTAATATTATTAAACCATTTTTCAAACTGGCTGCAGTGACATTTTCATTCGAATGACCCTTTTACCATTTCTTCAAAGGTATTCGTATTTCGATTCTCTGAGTGATCGTCCACCGACGGTCGAGCTGTAAAATCGCTGAATACTGCTAATTTGAACTGGTTTCGGCTGCATGGATGTTTTCGTGGTTTTATCCATGTGTAATATATATATGAATGCGAATATGAGCCAGCTGCTCTCATAAAACATCCTCCAAGAATTCCTTCCTTAACGCAAATAACCTATTAGTATTCTTACATAATCTAAGTAATCCTCTGAGCAAGGCGCAATGTATAAGCCGATAATTACTGATAACCACCCAGATTTTCTTTAACCTCTAAAAGCCTTTTTCGCTAAAAGCTTTTTCCGCTTTAAATTTAAAATGTATAACATAAGTTTTAAGTTGAAATCGACCATTTTCTTTCCTGTTTGAACGCACTGGTTATAAAATTTTAACAATAAATTTCACATGAGTGTTTCACGTAAAACATTTCCCATCTCGTTGTCTCTACACGTTCTCCCTACACATCCAATATTTGCAGCCTTTTACACTTTTGTTTATCGTAGAATTCATTTATGCTTCATCCGTCTCTTTTTCAATGACAATAAACAACATTGTGTCCTGTATCTATCCTTCTACCATCATCGCCATCCCATGTAATAAACTTTTCTAGAAAATTTTTTTGTGAATGTGGTTTGCAGACATGTATAAGACAAACACAGAAATCTTTAATATTTAGGATATGAGGCTGCAAACGACACGTTAAAGAAAGGAACTGAAAAATTCTTCAGTAACTTCCTGTTCTTAGAACAAAAACCACAAATTTAAATTTTCCGAGACCATAATTTCTGCTCGTACTGCTTCACTTCTCAGTTTGGATTTCTAAAAGCTTCCGAAATTCCGCATAGTAATCTTGCTAATGAAAGAACTTTTATACCTTTTCCGCTGAAGGGGGGATATATTTACGAGCACCATTTCCGATCCTTCCCCAAAATGGTACATCTACGTCAAGCACTACAACTTCTTCTGCATTCACCACTGTAACCGCACTGTTTTGATAAATATACACTGAGCTCCAACGAAACTGCAATCAGCGATATATTGTTTCTTTTTAGTAATTATTACACTGAACTGAAATACCCATTATGCCAGCTCGTTCATTTGCCAGGAACCAAACCCAAAATGGTTTCTTAACATTCATTAGTTTCCTAGACTTGCGAGCTTTTCAGATTATTTAGAAAAGATATACGTCGATTGAGTGAGTTACCATTAGTTACAGACAAGTATTTTGAGAAACCATTTAAGATGAGGATACTGAAGAGCGCATATTAAGAATGCTCTGAAATAAATTATTTAAGACATTTTTTAAAAAATTATTACTTGAAACCGTATTGCGTTACGTGGAAAAGCTGCATTAGGGAAAATTTCAACTTTTACTGGTAACTTGACTTTCCAGCTGAAACTTTCTTTTCTTAATGTAGTGCCACGTTTCTTTTTCAAATTTACCAATTTGGTTTCAGGCAGTAAGCGTTAAATGACTATAATGTAAAAGGCAAATTACACCTTCTGCACCTAATTAACAAATAATTAAAACTACCGGTATAATTTATGCAATAGAATAAACAATAAATTAGCAATTAAACAATAAATTTTTCAGTTTATGGAAGCGGAGAAATAGAAATGAAAGCTTTTGTAATATCGGTTTGAATGTCAAAGAGGATTGGACATCGAGTCTAACACACGGATAACAAAAAAGTAAGTAAATTTCAGCCAAATAAAATGGAGAGACAATCTGAGGACATGCAATTAAAATAAAAGTGTGTTTAAAACAAAATCACAGTGAAACAACTTGTAAAATATTACTAAACATTATGGGATTATATGCTTAAATTGCAGGAAATTTCATTATTAATTTCATCAACCACGAGGACTACCTGTCTAAGAAGAGAGTTGACTTGTGGAAGACATACTAAGGGAAACCGTCTTGTATGCCCATTGGGCATGGCAAATCTCCGCAAACGCCTCCAGTATGTTCACCAGGATTCAAGCCTGAGTTGAACTAGAAGAATTCATCCCTCATATTCGCTTAGTCACTTCTACGTCTCCTCCGCTGAATATAAACCTTTGTTATGTAGTACGAAAATAATGAGTTTCAACAGAAACCACTTTTCTAGTGTAATTTTTAAGTCCTGCATATGTCTCAACAGATTGCAGACTTGTAACGACGTTGATATATATTTCCGCCCCATGCCTTTGGTGACACTGTAATGAAATCCGTGAGATCAACACCCATAACGTTATACATTTGCATGCAGGCTATTCTGCAGATAAAACTCAGTTTTCTACTTTCATTTGGAGTTTCTTAAAAAATGGCTTCATTTGTTATGCCCCGAAGCTAAATGTGAAGTCTGAAACGGTATTTTAATCAGGTTATTCAAATTTAAATTTCAGGTTTGAGATCCTTTTTTTGTATTAATAGTATATTAAATTGCTAGTATTGTCGTTATTTATAATTCAAGCTTTGATTATGCTTAAAATGCATTATAAAATGTATTTCGAATATCTAAAAATTTTACAATTTCCGTAACTTGAATTAAATTGTGTTGAAATGAATATTCAAGTGAAACTAAGAAGACGCGAGCTATCTGCCTAACTCCAGTCCAGTTTTCAACTACGATACCCAGGGAATTAGAACTCATTTGCAAAGCGAAAAATGCATTGATTTGCATCAAAATTATTGAAACTTGCAAACATTAGTACGATAGAAATAATTCATGACGTTATATGGCAATAAGTACTGTACTAGCTCCAATGTTTAATATTCATACGCATACATATTTCTGCTTATTTAAGATAACCATATATCTTTGAAGGTGCTTTATAAGAAGGGGCTTTTAGATAAAATAACGCTCCGTGTATGAACTTGCTAAGTTTAAAATGCTCTGTAAAAATCAAAAATGGTACAGATACCACAGGAACTAAATATATTTACATTTATAAAAGAATCGAGGAATAACTGACAAAATAGTTTAATACGTTCTCTACATCAGGGATCCCCAACATTTTTATACCTTAAAGCACATTCTAGAATATCGGTAGAATGGTGGCTCCATTTATTCTTACAAGGTAAATTGATAGGATGACGTAATAATGTATATAATATACAAAAAAGAGTTAATAATGTATATAATATACAAGTTAATAATGTATATAATATACAAAAAAGAATTCCAAAATTGTAATTATAAGATATAAAAATTATTGATTGCATTCTTAAGTAAAATAAAAAGCACAGACGTATATATATATAGTTTTGTGATATTTGGCACTGCATTTTATAGGTCGTTGTTTCATAATTAAGAGAGTATGATGATATTCTTGCTCGTAAACAATCATCAATATATTCATCTATAAGTCGAGATTGGTACTTTGATTTTGTGATAGACATTGCCAAAAATTATATTTTTGCATTTTTCAACTTTTAACAACCTGATCTAAATGACATACTGGCTGGGACGCCGGAGTCTCACTTTGAAACTGACACAGTCTCGTTCAAGCTGGCATATCTGATAAATTTTAAATGGAATTACGTCCGTATTAAACCGTGACTAAACCTATTTAAAATTATAAACATACAATTATACACAAATACTTTTTTAACAAATACGCTTATTAACCCCCCTAATTAATTACTAACTTTAAAAGTTTTATGTAACATTTTATTGAAAACTAAAATAGTTTTTTTTTTATCATCGTTGCACAGCAGCGCGCACACGTAAAGCCGTTGGTACCAATGGTGCCCGCGGGCATAGAGCTGGAAGCCCCTGCTTTAAATGTTAAGCTGCAAGTACGCTTTTCTAAAGCTATTCTAAAGGGGGAAAACTCACATAATCTAGTAGACCCGGTATTACTTACGGTTTATAAAATCTTTGCGGAAAGGTTCACACTTCTTTCTCTTATCTTTTCAAAAGCTACTTCGCACACTTCTTAAAGTCACTTTTGTTTTCGAATGCCCTGAACTGGATTTAGAGTCTAAATCTGTTTTTTTTTTTTTTTTTTTTTTTTTTTTTTTTTATTTTCTGGTCATTTAGAAGACCATGCTAGCCGTTAAATGATATCCATCGATTTTGCCTCTTTGACCGCCCTTTCTTCTCATTGATTATCTCTGACCCATTTCTTTGCTTTAGAGCTATCAATCATTTCTCCATTCAGAGCATCTATCTACCATTTCGTCCTGCGTTGACAAACGTTTAACTAATGAACTTTAATTTTTGGTTAAAAT